TGTTTCTCAACCTTGGCGACTTTAAGTCCTATGGACTTCAACTCCCAGAATCCCCCAGCCAGCAGAGCTGGCTGGGGAATTCTGGGNAACAATCCGGGTCCTCATTTCACCCACCTCGGAAGGACGGAAGGCTGAGTCAACCCTGAGCCGGTGAGATTTGAACAGCCGAACTGCAGAACTGCTGAAGTAGCCTGCAATGCTGCACTCTAACCACTGCGCCACCTCGGCTCTAGGATGGGGAGGAGAGGAAGAGAAGGAAGAGAGGAGGAAGAGGAGGAGGACAAGGAGGAGAGGAAGAGGAGGATGAGTAGATGAAGAGGAGGAGAGGGGAGAAGGAGGAGGGAGAGGAGGAAGAGAGGACGGGAAGGAGAGGAAGAGGAGGAGGACAAGGAGGAGAGGAAGAGAAGTACGAGTAGTTGAAGAAGAGGAGAGGGGAGGAGAGGAAGAGGAGGACAAGTGGATGAAGAGGAGGGGAGGGGAGGAGGGAGGAGGAGGAAGAGAGGACGGGGAGGAGAGGAAGAGGAGAAGGAGAGGAAGAATAGGAGGACAAGGAGGAGAGGAAGAGGAGGATGAGTAGATGGAGGAGAGGGGAGGAGGAGGGAGAGGAGGAAGAGAGGAGGAAGAGGAGGAGGACAAGGAGGAGAGGAAGAGAAGGACGAGTAGTTGAAGAAGAGGAGAGGGGAGGAAGGAGTAGGAGGAGGAAGAGAGGACGGGGAGGAGAGGAAGAGGAGGATGAGAGGAGGAGGAGGAGGGCAGCAACCTGGGGATCCTTCATGCTCTCTAAGATTGATTCTTTTCTTGCAGGCGTTTTATTACCCAGCTAAGGAACGCCATTAGTGCTGGAAGGGATCAGGGTTTGCTGTGACTCGCCCTGTCAGGGTGGGTGGGAGTGTCCTCGAGGGTCCCTTGATTAGACTGTGGTTTACCTCCACTGGGGTCTTGCTCTGCTTCCTGATGATTGCTCTGCTGTTAATCTTGGAGGGGGTCTCTGCTTCCTGGCTGTTGACTGCTGGTCAGGAGGGGTGGGTGCTGGCTCCTTGTGTTTCCTTCGGGGCTTTGTGATTGTCTCTTTTGAGGGGTGTGTAGCAGGGGTGGGTTGCTGTTGGCATTACTGCCGGTTTGTTACATGTACGCTTTGTGTGTGCTTTGCTCGCGCTACTGGTGTGAACCGGTAACAACACAGTAACTGGTGTGTATAAGTTCTTTATGCTGGTGTGTCTGTTGATGGCCAATTTGCCTGAGCACAGCTTTGTGCTCTTCTGGCTCCTTTGATCGGGAGGGGAGGCAGGGGGGTTGGGATATTGACCCCCTTTGACTCCCCCTCTCCCCCACTCAGCCCCAAAGCTCTTCCTGACCCTTCCCTCCTGCCACCTGGCCTCTGTCTCGTAGGTCTGCTACGCCAAGAACCTTGACTGCTTCTACCTGGAACTGCTGGTCATCCAGGAGGAGCAGGAGGAGCCCTCCGAGACCCTCTCCCGGCTCATCCGGCGCCTGGAGCAGCTGAGAAAGAAGCTCCAGAGGAGTGGCCAAGCCAGCCATTGTGCCGCCTACCCACCGTGCCACGCTCACCCGGAAAAGCCAGCCGTAGCTTTCCTAAGGAGGCTCCTGGAGATGTTTCAGTGGAGATGCAGTACGAAAGACTTCGACCCACGTCCGGGGGCCCCAAGCACCACCCGCATTCCCCGGGCCTCCTCTTCTCCTCCCACGTCTGCGGTGACGGACCGCCAGGTCTAGCTGAAGTTAAAAAACGATCCGGTACCACCCTGGGAGGCTGCCTGCAACTTGCAGGGAGGACGGCTTCTTCCAGGCCGGTGAGCTGATCAGGCGCGACGGACGGAGAGATCTTGGACCTGTTGATGACCATCCAGGTGAATGGAGGAAAGAGAGCCGGGAATTCTGGCAACCGTGCCCTCTTGTGAGAAATTTCATACCCAAATACATTTTATTCTTTGTACCATCTTCCCATCTTCCCCTTAAAGCAGTGTTTCTCAACCTTGGCAACTTGAAGATGTCCGGACTTCAACTCCCAGAATTCCCCAGCCAGCATCCGCTGGCTGGGGAATTCTGGNGGCCAAGGTTGAGAAACACTGCTTTAGGGTGTGAGGGACACATTACGAATGTTCAAGGCGGATATTTTCATTTTCCCGGATTTGGGGATGTCGGTTCCTTTATTTTATTTCGTTTTTTAAAAAATTCTGTGCAATTATTTGAGGATGAAGGTGTTTCTTGCTTTAAAATGGGTTGGGGGGAGAAGCCATGCAGCCAATTTTCAGCAGGAGGAATCCAGACAAGACCTGGGGGGTGTCGGAAATAACTTGGGGTGTCCACTGCAGCGCCGGGTTCGAAAGCTGCCCATCACCCCAGCCCTTAACACCCTGTTCCTTCCCTCCCCAGGGCAACTCCAGCAGAATTGGGCCTCTCTACACCCCAGAGGACATCACGGTAGGTGCCTCCTGGGAGCCTCAGGGGTGAAACGGGGCTTGGATAGGAATCCTGGGAATTGAAGCCCACAGGTCTTAAGTTGCCAAGGTTGGAGCCCCCTGGTCTTAAGCGCTTGGCGCTCTGGGAGTGTGGCTGATTGCTTGCAGATGTTTCATGACCCACCTAGGTAACAATGCTGGAAGGGAGAGGAGGATTGTGGAGAGGAGGAGGGAGGAGGAGGAGGGAGAGGAGAAGGAGAGGAAGAAGAGGAGGACAAGGAGGAGAGGAAGAGGAGGATGAGTAGATGGAGGAGAGGGGAGGAGGAGGGAGAGGAGGAAGAGAGGAAGATGACGGGGAGGAGAGGAAGAGGAGGACCAGTAAATGAAGAGGAGGAGAGAGGACGGGGAGGAGAGGAAGAGGAGGAGGACAAGGAGGAGAGGAAGAGAAGGACGAGTAGATGAAGAGGAGGAGGACAAGGAGAGGAAGAGGAGGAAGAGGAGGAGGACAAGGAGGAGAGGAAGAGGAGGATGAGTAGGAGGAGAGGGGAGGAGGAGGGTGAGGAGGAAGAGAGGAAGAGAATAGCAATAGCAATAGCAGTTAGACTTATATCCCGCTTCATAGGGCTTTCAGCCCTGTCTAAGCGGTTTACAGAGTCAGCATATCGCCCCCAACAACAATCCGGGTCCTCATTTCACCCACCTCGGA